TCTAGGCGGTGTGCGTTCTGACATTAGAGAGAGAGAGATAAAGAAGAACAAGAAAATGCTTGGCGTCACTCGGCACTCAACCGACCCAAGGAAAAGAGAGAATAAAGAGAGCCATCTCAAAAGCGGAGGACGGCTTCAAGAGTCCCACGAGAGACGCCGGTTCAGTAGTGTTTCTTCCGGAGCCCTTGTTTATTTAAAGGCATCTCCGGGTTACAACTTCCTCAAATCTCTCGCCGTCTCTCGCCCAAACACACACGCAACATGGAGTCATCTCCTCATTACAACCCCCAAGATAAGCTAACTGACGAGAAAGTCAAACGAGAAGCCATTGAGGTCATCAACCATTTACGCGTGATACGTGTTTTCTACCAACTGCAAAGAAGCTAAATCATGTGTGTGATTATTATTCTTTGCCGCTTTGATAGATATCCGAGGACAAGTCTAGAGCGAAAATTGATCCGGTTGCACTCGACGTCACTTGGGGCAACGATCCCCGCCACTGGTGCATCAACAAAAACAAACTGTAAGATCCTCCCTCCCTCCCTCTTTCATTCTCATCAATGTGGAGAGACAACACAAGCCTTTCATAAATATAATATGTGTGTTGTTGGAGTTTTACAGAATTAGAGAGAGAATTGAAGTCTAATTAGAGAGAAATATAATAATAATAATAATAAACTTAATTAGAGAGAGAATTGAAGTCTAATAGAAGTAGCGTAACCTCCTTCAAGACTTTACAGAATTGAACTTAAATATATGTACTCTTCAAAACAAAAGAAATAAAACTTTCTTATTTACCTCTTGCATTAAATTTACGTCACTCCTTTTTTTCCCGTCTCTTTTCTCTTATCTTGTCACGAGAACCGAACCGCAGGGGTTCGATCACCTTGCTCCAGGTATCGTGGCTCGAGGTAGTCGGCAAGCTGGACGGGAGTCGATTGGTGGCCGGCGAGAGGTACAAGGTGAAGTTCATGGTGAAGATGAGGGCAGACGCATTCGGGTGGAGCGGCTGCCCGGTGTACCTGATGGCCAAGGATGCCAGTGGAAAGTTCGTATGGAAGAAGGCGGATCTCAGCCTGCTTCCCTCTGATACAGAGCTCCCAATACCAGATATCCAGAGCCAGGTCCTCATCTTTACTGCCCCACCAGATCAGGTCGTCTTCGGCTTGTTCGAGATTTGGAGAGGTACATGGAAGGGAGGGCTCGAGATCGTTCGAGTCATCATCGACAAGGTCCCACCCGATAATTTTAAGCGATGATAAGACATCGGATCTGACCTACACCTACTTCACATTGATTTCCATAAGGGTGGTTTCCTCGAGTGTCATGTAATCATTTCTCGCTGCGTACTGTGAATGATAGGACGAATATGATGTCCTTTGCTGCAAATAAAAATAACGTTAATATATACTGGATCATTATCTAACAACTTAACCTTTTGAGGTTAATTATCATGTAAACAATGTGTGTATTTTTTTTACTTTATGGCCCCTCGAATGAATGAAAATTTTCGTCGATGCGTAACTATAACTCCTTCGTTTGCGTTAATAATATAATGTTTACGCTGACTTGGTTGGTGGAATCCGAGGTAACATGATTATGTGTATGATGATGGGTTGAACTGTGCCCGTTTATTCACTGTATCCATACGTAAATCCAATTAGCTACTTCAATATCCAAATGTATCCGGTATCCATGTTTATAAACTATACCAGTCTTAGGTACCCTTAATTTTCTTGCATGTTCTATGCTTTCTTGATATCAAAGATGGGGGGCCGTCGCATTCACTCCACCCTTTTAGCCTCGGAAGAATCATATACTGCAACTTTGGAAGGAAGACCGAAGCAATCGACTATTCTTAAAGCAACTGCTCTTATTCGTTTCCTTGTTCTGAAGGATCAGTGTGTGTTGCTGCGACGCTGAAGTCCTATTCACCGACGAGCAAAAGCAGAAACACTTGCCGGTGAGAAGAATACCTTTCAGTGGTGATGTGCGGTATCAGCATCCTTTCCCTGGTTTCTTAACAGTGGACTGTGTAAACATAAAATCTATAATTATGTCATATCAAAAATATAAAAATAATTTTTATTCTACATCCTTTCTCCTCTTTCTGGGGAGAGGATTTTTTAGAGAGAGTTGAGATGCGTCTGTATTTGTATACGTGCTAACGTTCTCTCAACTTTGGAGATTTCCTCCCATCTTATCCAATTACAAAAGGATCACAAAATCTAACATTCTCCCACCCATTAATTGGTAAGATATAAAAGAGATATTCAAAATCAAAATAAATAAAATAAAATTTATTTAAAAAATAATTTTACCTAATTGGATTCCAAAAAATTTTGAAAAGCATTGTATACATGATCATATTTTTTTAAAATAAACCAATAAGTCCAATAAACATAATAATACTATATTAAGTCCAACTATCAATGCGAGTCATAACGGTTATATTTCATCAATTTCATACTCCCTTCTATGTACTACAACATTGTTAGTCTTTCCTAATATAGTCCATAATGACCCTTGTAATTTGTCTTGTCAAGACAATCTTGTTATTACATTCAACCATAATATGCATAGACACAAATGTAAACAGGATAGCAGAAACAGATAACTTTAATTAAGCAAGAAGAATGTCAATAATAGCATCCACATAAACATGCATTACCATATTCTTTATGACTTGCTCACTAGCCCCATTCTAAAAACATATTCCTTGAATATTTTACACTATAAGGTTTTTGTCAATGGACCAGCAATCATCATAGTGGTGCTCAAGTTCTCAATTGACACTTGATGTTTCTGGACTCTTTCTCTAACCATCAAGTACTTTATCTCAATGTGCTTGGAACCACTAGAGTACTTATCATTCTTAGAGAAGAAAACTACTGCAGTGTTATCACAAAATATCTTCAGCAGCCTGGCAATTGAATCGACCACATCAAGTCCTGAGATGAAATTTTACATCCATAAAGCTTGATTTGTGGCCTCAAAGCATGCCACAAATCCAGCTTCCATTGTTAATGATGCAATAAGCGATTGCTTTGCACTTTTCAAAGAAATTGCCCCACCAACTAACATAAATATAAATCCTGAAGTGGACTTCCTACTGTCGAGGCAATTTGCAAAATCAGCATCTGAATATCCTATCACTTCAAGTTGATCTGATCTCCTGTATGTAAGCATATAATCTTTCATCCCTTGCAGATATCTCATTACTTTCTTTATAGCTTTCCAATGTTTCATTCCTGGGTTGCTTTGATATCTTCCCAACATTGCAACTGCAAAACTGATATCTGGTCTTGTACAAGTTTGAGCATATAATAGACTTCTAACTGTGCACCCATAAGGAATATTCTTTATTTGATTCTTTTCTAAGTCATTTCTTAGGCACTGGTTTTGATTGAATTTTTCACCTCTAGTAATAGGTACCTGAGCAAAGCTGCATATTAAATCTCTCCAAGATACGATCAATATATCCTTTCTAAGACAATCCTAATAATCCTTGAGATCTATCTCTGAATATCTTAATGTCAATAACATAGGCTACCTCATTCATATCAACCATCTTAAAGTTTTTATTGAGAAATATCTTGATTTCGTGTAATAAACCAAGATCACTACTGGCAAGTAAAATATCATCCATATATAAGATCAATATAATAAACTTGCTCCCACTTACCTTCAGATATATACACTGATTAATAGTGTTTTCCGTAAATCCGAAGGAAGTAATGGTATTATGAAATTTTATATAGCATTGTCTGGAAGCTTGTTTAAGGTCATAAATGGATTTCTTAAGTTTACAAGCTCAATTTTCTTTTCCCTTTTCAATGAATCATTTAGGTTGTTCCATATAGATTTCCTCATCCAGATCCCCATTCAGAAATGTTGTTTTCACGTCCATCTGATGCAACTCAATATCATAATGAGCTACTAATGCCATGACGATTCTTAATGAGTCCTTTCTTGAAACTAGAGAAAAAATCTAATTATAGTCGATGTCTTCCTTCTGAGAAAAACCTTTGGTCACAAGTCTGGCTTTATATCGTTCGATATTGTCCGTTGAGTCACGTTTTGTCTTAAAGACCCATTTACAACCGACTCTTTTACAATCATTGGGCAATTCAACGAGATCCCAAACACCATTCTGGACCATTGATTTTAGCTTTTCTTCCATTGCATCATACTATTTTTCAAAATCGTTACTTTCTATGGTTTGTGAAAACGATAAGGAGTCTCTTTTTATTCTTATATCATAATCTGATTCTTGTAGATATACCACATAATCATCAGAAATGACATGTTTTCTTTTCCTTTGAAATCTTCTCAAATTTATCAATTGTGATTGTTATTTGTCAATTGTGATTGTTCTACAAGATCATCAACGGCGACATCAATATCATGTGAGAGTTATTCGATGTTATTTTGTTGTTCACCTTCATCAATACTCTCATTGATTTGAGGAACAAAAATCTCTCGAATAGAAAATGATATGTTAAAATTAACCTAAATCTCCTTGATATCAAAATTAATCCTTCAAGATTTTTCACTTCTAAGAATTTTACTTTATTCTACTATCCTCATAGTCTATGAACAATTTGTTTAGAGCTCATCAACAGTCTCCGAGCTTAACGACAGCAACACCTCGCTGTCTGGTACAGCGAGGTGTCTGGAGGACCTGAACTTTCACATCAGAGTAATCATTAGACCCAAACCAAGATTTTGGTAATACATCACGAAGCCATTTCACCTCCTGCAAGTGCATTTTGACCTAATGACACTTATGACTAAGCAAATTGAAAGATAATTTTAGAAAATGAAAGAAATAAAATCTAAATAAGTCTGCAAGAAAGGGATATCACTAAACTCAAAATACGTCCATGCATAAAATTTCAAAACAAATGCCTATTTTAACACTCTAGAACATTTTTCCTTTAGTTATTCTCAAGAAAATTATGGTTTGATTTTGATTAATAGCTGAATAATTACTAATGTAAACATCAAACGGCTTCTACTATGTACATGATTTTATTTTGATCAATAGGCGTATACTTCCTGCACATATATCTGATAGGTAAGGTGCGTCGATACAGTAACTATTTACACTGTACATTGTTTGTTCTAGAATGTTAGAACAAGTTTTATATACATGGCATTTTATATTACAATGCACCCATGGTTACACTGACTGCTCTGACTTCAACATGCTGTCGGCCTTTGCTTTGAGGGTGCACAAGAACAGTAGCCTCGGCCTTCTCCATTGATTGCACATTGTTACCGCAAGACACTGATAATGAGCCCACCATAGGTGGAAGATCAGCTGGTTTATTATCTTCGTCGGCGACGGTTGATATGATCTCCCATTCTTCCTTCAGAGCAGCTACCTGCATGCTTTTCTCTGTATGCCTCTCGATCTCGAATGCTGTGGGCAAAATTACATAATCATTGAGAGCATTGTAGAAAGGATCTGGCTCTCCTGCCTTCAGCCAGTGCTTCAATATTCTGAAAACATGTCGGTCGCATATTATTCCTCGATGATCAGCAGGAACTCCAACTCTTGCTGCTGCATTGAGCCCATCGGCCTGCAAGATAGCAGCACTCATGATCAGATTTTACCAAATAATCATATCTGTATTGTCACATAGTAAGCAAAAATAAGTCTGGTCCCAGTATCTGGTTTCAGCATAGTGCATCAATTTGACATTCTAGCATTTGCTTGATTTTTGCATACAAATAGGAATTCATGTCACAATGGCATTCAAAAGTTCAGTGCTCATATGACACAGAAAAATAAAATTATTATCTATAATAAGTTTATTTATGCAACTACAGTATAAACTGGCCATTTATGCCTGCATAAAATCGTATATCTTCGTCTCCAAAGCTACCTCACAATCATCCTGCCGTTGTTTGTATAATGTTTTATGCTATTTGCTTGTATCATATTTCATGACACAATAAAATAGTCATGCAATTTGTGATGATTATTAAAAATACAACTTGCCATACCTTTGCTGATTCGGCAGGAACTGTTCCATCACCATTAACGCAAATATACTTAGGCTGCAAATGATAAAATGAGACTTATAATGATTTTTCATACTGTTAGTTGCAGTAATATAACAAAAATTGTAAATAAGGTAGCTTAAGGAACAAATAAAACCCATATACTTCAAAAATGTCTAAAAAGATCAACCACATGGACATGATACGAATGAGTTAGAACAGATGCTCAAATAATGTGATGAATGGGTAAGATGTGTTTAAATCAAGGTAGCGGGCAATCCGCTCGATATAACGCCTGATTGCAGCGAGGCTGAGGGAGAAGCGTCAAAGAAGGAAGAAGAAGGAGAGGGCATACGAAGAATGGGGAGAAGAAAAGGGAGAATCGGGAAAACCTCGACGCGAACTTGTTTTCGTGCCCTTTCTCGATCCCAATCCGACGCCGCCCTCCCTCAACGATCCCGATCCAAGAGGTAACGGCAAGGAGAGTCATAAAGAGGAGGATTTGGAGGCGCGGGGATCAAGGGAAGAGGCGCTTCATCGCCTCATTTATGATTCTGTAGCCTTCTTCTTCGCTGCGTTCTTCGTCGAAGGCTGGAGACGTCTGCGGCCTTCACCACGTTCTTCGCCGAAAGCTAGAGACGTCTACGGCCTTCGGCGTCTTTGCCGAATGCTGCAGACGAGGCAACAAGGAGAAGAGGAGGCATCGTCGTTGAGGCTACATACGCCTTTTTTAAATATTTTTATATATTGATTTTTTTTTAATATATTAATTATATATATATTTAGGCGTACCACTCGGTATGCCTTGGCATACCGCTCGATACAACATACCGTACCATACCGAGCAAAGCTCAATACATTGGTACGGTACGAAATTTCAAACCTTGATTTAAACAATAGTGCAAAACTTAGAAGTTATCCATGAAGAAACAACACTGCCAGCTGATTGATTTTTAACAAGAGCAAGAAATTATTTTGAAGTGATGGAGACAAGGTGAATTTGTGAGATTTTGAAGTCAAAATAGCAATACAGAAACCCAAACTACACCAGCAACTATATGAATCTCATGATCAAGATGGGATAGAACTTGTTATCCTTATATATTGGAGTCTGTTTGATTCAAAGAGGAGAAATGTGCTCAGGCAGATGAAAGCAATATAATTGATGCATGCCAAATCAAAGATGTTTCCAGAAAGAAAACATTCATTATATAATTCTTTTGCCAGATAATGAGAGTGCAACTGTAAATCATAACATATGTAAAAGTTAAGCATAAAGTCCATTTACATGATGAGTTACAACAACTGGAACAAATTAAACTTACAATGGCATTGAGTGAGCAAAGCTATAGTATATGTCAACCAGAAGTCCTAAAAGAAAGACATGTGTCAATTGTTCAATGAATTACAATTAACCACCTTTACTATTGGATTGACAGGGAATTACATTTGCAATTCAGCACGGATAAGTATTGGTAAATGGCTATGAATGGACAAATTTGCTGAACACATAATGATGGATGAAGATCAGCATCATGAGGATGAGCACAGCATATTAATTATGTGAAATCCAAGTTAAAAGAGATGAATGTGAAGTAACCAGCAGGGTAGAGAAAGGCAGCATATTCATAGCAGCAGACGATGCTGTTAGAATACAACACAATGTAGAATCGTAGATGACCATCTTTATTACAAGAAATTGACAAGCGCATGACAAACATATTCTACTAAAATGTTTCAAACTTGACAGAGGAATGACAAACATATCAAGGGGAGGAAAGCTGAAATAAAATGGATATGTGAAAGGGGTAAAACCTAATGATCCAATGATTGTTATTCCTAAGAGGTATACATTAACAGTGACCTCAAAATAAGGTTAGTCAGAAAGCATTTTAAGAACTAAAGTGAACCATTGAGTTGTAAAGACATTTACACACGATAATACAGAGTGTCCAAATTTAAGGGAATGAAAGGCACATATAGCTAGCCCAAGATAAGGTTTCACAAAACAGGACCTTAAAGCTAATAAATGTGTCTACAGTATAGGATATTCTATGAAGCTGAAGGACAAGTCTAAATGATTTTAGCCACATATTTATTGGCTGAAGTGAGTATCATAACTGTCATCTATTTTATCGAGCTGCAAGCATTATAGCAGATATTTACATAGGGACTTCTTTCTCTTTTACTTTCTTTTTTGTTTTTGCTTTTTTTATAAACGATTCGACTTGCAGTTGGTGATAATATATGAATCACCACCAAGGACTAGCAAATTCCTCACCCAAGAACTTTCTCATGCACAAGTCATTTGAAACTAAACATACACCTTATATGGGTCTTGATATACTCTCATCCTCTTAAGCCTGGTTTATTTTCAAAAGAAAGTAAAGTCACAAACATCATTATTAGTGCAAGGTCATCTTCAAAATTCTGTTGCTATAACTCATGATGAAACAGAAATTGTAACTTTTAGTTCCTAGATTCTACAAGTAGTTGAGATCTTTACATGAACACATTAATTTTGGACTAAACATGTCACGACTTGGCCCGAGGGAAAACTGACCCATTAATTCGATCAATTTAAACAACTGGCCCAAAAATACTTAAACTCAAATTAGTAGTAGGTTCATTTAGTCCTATACACAATCACACACTTATTCTCCAACTTCCAGTGCAGGACTAGATGGGGATGTCATAACTTTAACATCCTTGTCAAAGCCCAAGGTCCAACTCATAACTTGAAATTATAATTATTACATGGTTCATAAGGTGGCGGGTTCACCTCATGATATGCCACCTCCAGCCCCACCATCAAGAGCTATTTCCTAGTAGGGTAAATCTGATATGATACTATTTGTCATAATCCAACCCAATGAGAAACCAACCCATCACTTGATGAACCTAAACCATGCAAATGCTTAACCTCCAATTAACAACAATAAGCTCATCTAGCCCTATATACAATCACATCCATCCTCCCACTTCCAATGTGGGACTAGATTCGGGTGCCAGGAAACGTATTATCAAAAGATGCCATGCAAGCAAAATCTATTAAACATGGATACTTTGAATTGCTTGCCATATCCATGTTTGCAACAAATATTTGTTAAATACAAAAATTATAGGATACTTTTGGATAGTATCAAATACTTTTTGACATACGTACTTATGTTCTAGTGAAATAGCTAAGTGATACATCAAGGGCACTTCATTCATGGATGTAATATGGGAAAAGCTTAACTGTTCTTGAATGATTATCTTGTGATCAGTCAAAACGATTATATAACAAATTTATGTAATACTAGATTGAAATAATCGAACATCATATATGATTAATGAAATTAAAATAATGCTCTTGATTCATTTACGTTATTATTATCAACGTACTGCATCAATATCCATGCAACTGGATCAGCATGCAGGAGAAGCTTTTCAGTCAGTTAAGTGTTTCAGCCAAACTAGACAAAATGGCTATGTTTTCAGTCAAAACATACAAAAATCTCACTGGTAATGATTTAGTCACTGAATTGATCTAATCCTTCTATGTTGGCTCACTGTGCAACATGGGCAAAATGGTGATGCCCATACCCTCTGTTTGCTCAGTCTTCCTCCATAGTTCACAATATCTGTGCTCAGACTCTCACGTAGACTCCAAGAATCTCATCTCCAAATTCAATTTTCTTTTCTACCAAACTTGCATAAGCTGCTACCAACAATATCTAATTCCACATGTTAATTGCATAGACCCCTGTTGTAATTTCATTAATTTCAAAATACTCTAGTTATTTTGTACAGCATATCTTATTTAAAATTGTGCATCATTGTTGAAATTTTTTTTATCACTTAAAAACATTTGTCCTCAATTTCATGAAGCAAAAAAAATTAGTTACTCTGCACAAACTATTGACAACCTCATGGTTATTGATTTCAGGTTAAATTGTGAATTAACATTCCGTAAGAGAAAATAACCTGTGCAGAAACAAGTTGCTCTGTGTCTGAAATTGGTGATTCCTGATTCCCATAACTGCAAGCAGAGCATAATATCAGTAACTTAAAGATGATGGTTAAGAAAACACACTTCCAGAATTTCCCATAAAAGTAGCTCCTGTGGCAGCAAGCTTATACTATTGTTCTAAGCATGGAGTATATGGTTATTATATACTGCCAATCTGCCATAATATCCAGAAAAAGACTAACTTCAATATTGTTTTACAGAAAATAAACATAGAATATGTATTTTGTTTTTTTCACTGATTTTTATGCATATATAATCAAGATTGAGCATGATTTGTCTTAACACTATTATATATTTACTTAGATGAGTCTCGATTTAGCCTCATTATATATTCACTTAAAATTCAGCTCAATTCTGAAAATAGTTATGGTTATAACCTATGTCAAGCCTTTGTTCCTCAAAATTGCTTCTTACAAAGCTTAATTAGGTACTCAATCAGTCTCAATTGCAAGATGAATATCTGAAACAGGAGAATAATTCCAGGTCTAACAATTTCAAACACAACAAGAGAATAATTCTGGGGCTCTGTTGAGCATGCTAAGACCCTTGGTTTAGGATCTTATGTCTAGTACATGCAACTAGATGGTACATATTTCAATTCCCAAGTTGGACTGTGACAAGTAAAAATTATAATTAGCAAAATCTAAAAACCAATCAATTAGGCTGGCAAAGTTAAGCTGTATATCCAAAATACAAACCCTAAAACTTGAAACAAGAAGTCTAAACAACATGCGAAAAATCAAGGAATGTTAACAGGATATGAGAGAGCATACCAGATGCTATGTGGTGTGTCATTATGAATCCCATATATATTGTAAAATTTTACTGCATCCGGAAGCTTAGCACGAGATAAAATTTCATGAGTTTCATTGGCCCATTTCAGAATTTCTAAATTCAACAGTAAAGGAACCTGCATGCTTCCATAAGCAACCTGCTAAACCCAAGGTCAAAATCAGAATCTATAAGTGAATAAAGAAAGAACCTAATTACTCATATAAATGTCACTGACTTTGTATGGTATCGTAGAATTATTTTCTAGACTAGAAGTTATAAATTTCTTCTTACATCTATAACTTTGTGAAATAAATTTATCTTTCTATAAAATCAGTTAACATCTGTTATTTAATTAAACTAGAAGCTTATTATAAGTTTTCTTGTTTGGTTCAGTTTGTTAACAAAGAGAAGAGAATCTCTACCGAGTTAATTGCAACTTACTCTCTGGCGGTTTCATATTTCACATTCTTTTCAATTTTTTTTCTTCATTAGGTAATGGTAAAAGAAAGAAATTTTATTTAAAGGGCTCAAAGAGAAATCAATTGCGCCCGGTTCTCTTCACCTCTTTCTAATTTTCTCCCACTTGTTGCATTAAAACAGGAGAATCCAATTCTCTCCATCCAATAAAGCTGTGAAGGAATTTAGTTGACAGGTACTGCATCATAATCTGAGCGATCAGTCATGCCTTACCGTATTTTTTGCAAGAGCCTCGTTCATCAAAGTTATAGCTTCTAGAGGCTCATATGACTCCAGCAGAATACTGGATTTTCCAGAACCATCATGCTTCTGTCTCCACATTTGCAAAAGAGGAACATCTTCCCAACAAAAGTTGGGACAGGCCATCAACTCATAAATGGATGGGCATTCAATAAGCTGAAACAGAAGGCACATTAGCTCATAAAATCCAACCTAACTTCTCAAATCTACTTAAAATTAGTTTGTAGTACAGGAGAGTAACATAACATATGATTGCATTCATACAGACTTACACCTAATGATTTATACATTATCTACCTACAATATACTAGAAAGTACAGTGAATAATAAAATCAAGACTAAAAACCAAGAATAACATCCCAACAAAGCTGATCAGATAATATTAAAAGTAAAACTACAGGAGAAGACCATATAGATGATATAGAGTGAAAAGACCATATATATCAATATTTGATAATAATAATAATAATAATTTACAAACAAAAAGCAATTCAACCACTATCAGTAGCAAATGAAAAAATGAACTTTTGCAGCGGGTGCTGTTTCTATGCATTTCAATTTCGCATCTCGAATTATGGTGAAAATTTATATACATATGCACAAATGCTGCATCTCAAGCCAAGAATAGTTGCACAACACTTTTTATTTCTTTCTCCAATAAAATGCTGAGTCCGGCAGAACTGAAGGGTATACAAGAAGGTATTGTCTTGTTATAATCGACAATAAGAATAAGAGAATCATGATCAATGATCTCGGTTAGAATGCTTTTATGATTCTTAATTTTGTAAATTATGAACGTATAAGTTACAAAATTCAATTATTTTCATAAGATGATTTTTAGTCCTACTCTGATGTCACACTGAGTCCTAATTCAGCTACAGTATGGTCTGTAGAGGTTGTATGGACATTATGATTCAAAATATAGGAATCACACACAATTGTTAAAAGATTAAAAGGAATTATAGGTGCCGATATACTTCTTGTCTGGTGAAAACCAGGTACAGTGGCCTTACTGGGCAAAACAGTCCCACAGTAGACTTGACAAAACAAAATCATCCACTGCACATACTGATCAGTTTTCAGCTGCTAAATACCGATCCATAACAACCAGTTCAGATGATATTTTAAACCTTAGTCTCTACCATCAGTTTTTAAACTTTATCCAACTAATATTAATTGACACTGATCCTTGTACAGATTTTTAATCTTATACCATAATGCCAACATAATACAACTCAGTCAAGGCTGCATCGTCCAACACATGCAGCACAATGTTCACTGCTACATTGTAAAACTAAATGACCAGCAAAGAAAGACCAAACTGCCTTTTTTGAATGCACATACTGTTAGGCATTTAATTCTGACTTTTAGGTTCAATTGGCATCCAAATTTGATTTAATTAGCCAAAGGTTTCGTTAAAAATCACGTATTAAAGGAGAAGCTAAATTGTCCTTTAAGCAATAAAAATTCATAATTACAGAGAGAACATACCAGGAGATGTTGCCTCTAATCAACTATTCAAATATAAATGATGATAAACTAATCCAAGGAACAAAGACGAGGCAGAGTTAAATGATTAAAGGAATAAAGAAATGGAGTGGGAAAATATACCAGTTGTTGCATGCTCCATTTGGTGATGAAAAAGTTTCCCTCCCACCCTTCCACGAAGGACATACCATTCAAGAGACCAGTTGTTATATATCCAGGTGCACCTGTCCATACAATAAATGAAGTATACCTAAATATACTCATAAATTTGTGCAACAATGATGTCGATTAAACAAAAGCTGTTAGTGCCTTGATCAATAAGGCATGAGGAACTCCTTAAACCAAGTAACATGATAGTTCTGATGAAATGAAAAATATGCTGGAAAGAGTTGTATTACTAAAGTTTCATTCTTGAAAGAGCATAAGACAGTCCGCTACATTATGTTTACAACTAGATGAAAGCTTCTTTTGAAAGAATCTGATAATCGTGCAAGTTACATGAGCATTGGGTTCTTGTCATGTCAGACATTATAACACTCTGACATCATAACAACCACAGTAAGAATATTCTCTAAATAATTTTGGTTGCATAGTGTAATTTATTTTAACCTAGAACAGTGCCACAGACAGAAGTTCTCATTGAACTCACAACATTTTTTAATCATTTACCCTTTTGTCCATATTATAAGGACTAAATTAGATATTTTATGTCACTGCAACAGAACTCAAAAGCTATCCAGCACTTGAGGTGAAAAAAGATGATCATTTTAGGACTAATGACAAAAGGGCAGCCACCATCATACACAATAAATATAGCTGGTTTCCCAAAGTTTAAATATGATTCACAGTGAACATATCAAGTTTTTGGGATACATCACATCCCTTCGTTTTTTAGGCACCTCCCTTGCTTAAAATCTTGAATATCCCTTTGAGGTAAGGATAATACATGAACACAATCTTTTTCCAACCATAGATGAGATCTTAAAATTGTGTTCCTTGCACAAAGTCTCCTATCTAATCAGATCCACTTTTGTCAATAATCATATTGGATATGATTGGTTTACATCTCAAATAGAACTACAACAGATTATAAACAAACGAAAATTAAGGAATGCACCAATACTCTTAGTGATACTCTGCCACTTACAAGCACTAACTCATCTATTCCATAAGAAAATCATCAGATATCACCAGCATAGGGCAATTATTATAATACAAATAGCCTAAAAACCCAATAACTTGCAGTTCCAAGCCCTAACAACAATCCGTGATGCATACATCCAAGTTATATCCACACAGAGATGCACCGTCATTATGTCTTTCTGACCATTGTGGTATCACAATTTCTTCAACTTAAATCCCTATCATACTAGGAATACTGTAATACATATTGCATAACATATAACCCAAAAATCCTCTTTTCAAATTCCAACGTGTGACATCCAAAAGAACAAACCCTACACATGTTGCTCGTCTCAGGATGCATTAGTCTACACGAAGGGATCCATATGGCAGTTAAGCTACCATTTCTCAAGGTCTAGGTAATTTATCAACCAGAAAACGCTTTGGAGAGGATCTTACCAACGAATCATTCATATGGACAATCATTATTTCCTCATCTCTTGACATAAGACTACTAGAATTTTCTTTGCTTTCTATTTAGTCTGATGTTCAAGTTCACACTATTTCAGTCAAGGCATCTACAGGTTCAGTTTGCCTTGGGACTCGCAAATTCAACAAGAAAAGGTACTAAAATAACTTCTTAACTGAAGGCTAAATGTTAGGACTCTGGTCATTTCCAAGGCAATCCGTTGACAGGAACTTGAAGAAATCAACAATGAGATCCATAACACTGAAGGGAGTCAACGAGAATCAACCAGCATTTGACATCATTTTTCAATAAAGTAGTTGTTAGGTTAAGGATCATGCCTATCAGGTTATACTTGCACTTCTTATAGCTGCTCTGCTGCAAATTCAGACTAAAAACAATGCAGCCACAAAATTTATATTAGAACATAATAGATCAGAATATGGGAAATTCTTCACAGGCCTTATCATGTCCATGCCTCATTTATACAGGCCCAAAACACAAGAAGAATAATGACACAACATGTGGTAATAACTTCCTGAAGGAGGTAAAGGAAAGGGTCCAGCATCTTTGCTAAACTATCTAAAGAGGAAGATGTCCAAGGTTTGCTCTCACCATTTTACTAGGATCTCCTGTATAGGATGGGTCATTGCATGCGACATAATTATCTAAGCATCCAACAAGAAGAAAGCACCAAGTATTATTTACTTTCAAATCCTATGCTACTAAAAACTCAAGATATGAGCAGTAGAGATAATCATTCAAGTAATAAAATACAAAAATATAGTGCTTGGCCATGACAGAATACTCAAATTGTCTTGCAAGTTTGAAGTCTTTTCTGAACTACACTTTTCCTTTATACAGGAAACATGAACAAGGAGCAATTAGAAAAGATATCTTCTCACGTATTAACGATAAAGCAAATCTAACTAGAAAAGGTTAAATAGTTGGTCAAATAGATACTTCAAGAAGAAAAACAGTCATCATTCTCAATAACTACTAGTTCCTTTATCGCAGATAACCTCAAATGGTACACTTCAACTTCCACATATAGTCTAGTTTCTAATGTAAGCACTAAGACCACAGAGTTCAGAATTCATCTATGTTTTCCCAGTCAAAGTAAAGCAGAATTTACAAATATGCTAAGGAATTGTACCTTGAAATGGTGCAGCAATTGCAATCCAGCTCTTCACATATTTCTCAAAAATCTAAGAAATGTCACATAATTGTAATTTGTAAATAATAGAATCTCTAAATAATTGCCACAAAGAGTAAAGGGGAAAAAGCTTATTTGCACAATAGAAGAATTACAAGGACAGTTGGCTTAATAGCAAAGAGTATTCTTACATCACTGTGAAGGCACATGAAACACTTCACAAGCAGCCCTCCCATTGAGTGGGTTATAATATTCATCTTCTTTCCACCGGATGACACATATACCGATTCTAGCTTTGCAGATAAGCTATCTAGAGTTTCTTGAAGCCTGAAAGAAAAGTATGTGAAAATGTTAATAGCTATAATCCCCATAGTAGAATCAAGTAAATCAAATTTCCAAGATAAAATGGCAATTATTAGATCAGATTTTTTTTCCTTGGAAAGCTATCATGCTGGTGAAGTGATTTATTTTCATTGTTTCCAGTGCATGCCATAACTAAAGTTAGTTGGGTTTCCTCATATTTGGTATTGGGTAAACACTTTCTTTTTGTGAAACAGCCCATAGAGCCCAGAAATATGAGCAGTACTTATGTAATCACAATTCTTTTTTGCCTCCTGGTAGATATGACACGGATGGAGTTATTATACATGGCATTTCCAACCTTTCAAATTTATGATTAGGATGCTCCAAGACTATTAAATTTCTTATCAATAACCATAAGTATACTGCAGCCTGGTCGAACTTAAGAAACAAAAGAGTCTCTACTAAAATGTTCTTTGCAACCAGGACTATGATTTGAAAGTCAGGATCCTGACTTATATGACACACTGTTCAATTAGTGGGTACCTGTGCTGATGAAGAAAACATATCCTCATTATCTTGATCAAGTTCCAAGAAGCAAGAAAGGAAGAATACGTAAGCAAGAATGAAAAAGAATAAAGCAAGTGATAGTGGAGCAGAACCATGAGAACATGCCAAAAAGAACAGTAAAGGTTGCAAACTAAAGATAAGAGGAAGCAAGATAAATAGGCATCTGTATAATGATGGTACAAAAGGAAAAATTTTGAAACCAAGAGGAAAAAATGACCAATATCGGGCAATAACTAAGAGAAGGTGTTGCACAGAAAAATTGAAGAATGGAGGGTTTGGCAAGTCAAATAGTACATGATGCTTTGTCTTCTTTGGACAGCTGACATAAAGATCAGAAAGAAAGGAGTTGAATCTGAACATAATCTGGAGTGTGCCAGAATTGCCTCTAGGATGACCCCTCCGAACAAAACCACCTTCAACATTCAACTTACATCAGGAGGAACCTAAATTTAGCCAAGGCAAGGAAAAAGTGGAACATAACTAGGAATCATGGAAAGGGCTATACTTAAGAGGGAGGGAAGATGTCTGCTAATGGAAATGAGGTTTCAAGCAACTTTCATCGACAAGAGATGTCCCCGTCGATGAAGACCTAGATAAAGTATAGCAAGATCAGTGGATGACCTTTCACACAAGGGAGGTAGGGATGATTAAGCTATAAAACAAAAGCATAATTCTCCTCATTCACTAGGTCCCTAGCAAATTGTGTCCCATACTGAGGATGCCCAAAAGTGACATGAACTTTCTTCATGCACTTATGACAAGAAAAGGCACCAAGACCCAAGCATTTACAGTAAACATTATATGAGGGTTGTATGCAGCAAAAGATGAAGTTTATCATAATCTCAAAGGATATGACTAAAACAAGAATTGATCCTATTAAGCCTCTTTGAGACCTTATTCCATTATTTATCACATCGACATGACATAAGGATGAGGGATTTCGTCATTATTTAATAATGATACTGTTATTCAAATCCCATCTCTATGTTCGGATTGATGGAAGAGCTATTTTGCATCCCTATTCCCTCGTCACAGAACAAAATGCATATTACATACTACTAGCAAAGACCAAGAAATATAATCTCGAGCACTTACAAAACAATTTACTCAATCATAGTAATATTCACAAAAAAATATTTCAGGTAAGCAGCTGCTATCATGGTTTAGTATAGCCATTGTATTACATTCATAGAAGATGCTACAGCAACATGATGGGTGAATAATTTTCTAAATTGCTTGTGGTGGATTATATGGTAGACAAAATAAACAAGGTTTTAAGAAACAGCCAATGCAAAGTCTCGGTCAGCTTATGGATGGTACAATACCTGGACACGATACAGTATCCTTCAGTTGCTGATGGTAAAAAAAAAAATGAAGCAATGATATATGTCAGTCAAACTGGTAGATTGTTAGTGGGGCATTCCAGTCTTCATGGATCATATTTGACCCCATGCATATAACTGCTATTTCAATTACAATATAGTTCTAGCCCCATTTTATTCACTGAAATGATTTGGAACAACTTGATGACTTTGGGTCTTGGATTTCCCCTAATTCAATACTATTGCTTGAGAAATTAAAGAAAATAGATATAGCAGTCCTATAACATAATGTGAATATAATGTGATTGTCCACATCTGTATCACCATTTAATGTCATCTATTATCATTGATGTTTCGCATAAGATTCAATCTTTTTTTTTTCCTCATGTGATGTGTGAAATAGTGGTGTGATGGGATAATTAAACTATTAACTTTGTTTGACCTAAATTACTAGCCAAAATACTTTATCTGAAGTTGACAGTACTACACCCATCAGACACTTATAAGCTAATCTTATTATTGTCTACTTCCGATGTGGGATTAATCAAGGTGTTACAAACTATCCAACTTAAGGATTTAGCGTCCTCGTCAAAGCCTGGTACAACCCAGATCAAACCCTAGCATAGTGCATGAGTTATAGCCCAATGGTGGCTCCACACCATGACTTGTCCATGCCCCTCGCCACGCCCAACACTAGGTTAGCTTTAATACCAATTGTCACGATCCGACCTGATAGGATAACTAGTCTATTAACTTCGTTTGGCCCAAACCACTGGCCAAGATGCTTAGGCTGAAATTGACAGTAGTACACCCATCAGACGCTTATAAGCTCATTTTTGTCTTACCCACTTTCGATGTAAGACTAATCAAGGTGTTGCATGGGTTTTTTAAATTTTATTATAAAAAGAAGCTCTTCGTCAAAGACTACAAATATTGATCGATCACTATTTAATGTCTTAGTCATTATGCTATCCACATAAACTCACTATTGTTATCTATTTCATTTTACTGGTGTCATAAACAAATACATTCAATAACTAAGAAAATCTATTGCGAGTGAATACAGGAAAAACTACAGAGTTTCCATGTCTTATATTGCTGCATAATGAATATCATAGAAGTAAAGATTATACAACATGCAAACAACACCTAAACCATGTAGTAACCTAGTGTAAATTCCCATTTAACTTTCCATGTGGACATGCATGCATACATACATGCATATGCTAATGTATATGCATACATATATAAGTTTGTAACTATGTGCTTCTATATTTACAAATATACTTTTGTATACTTTACATAGGTATATATATACAAATATGCATGTAGGTGCAGAAGCATATACTTACGTATGTATATGAATAGATATATGAAATCAAGTCTGATATATAGAACTCAGCAAATACATTTTCACGAGAATGTTCCAAGAGAACTTCAGAATATAAATGGAAAAACACACTTAAGACAAGTTGTTTGTAAAGCAATTTCTGAGTCACTTGTGAATGGAAAAGCATATTTGAGAAGGGTTTTTTAAAAGCAACTTCTGCGTGGCTGACCTATTACTCTGTCGAAAATCATATCCAAACCCAAAAAGGGTTGTGCCCTCTTGGTAACCCCACGTTATCATCTGCTCTATCATGTCGTGATAATAGCAAACCCCATCCCGTCCCACAATCTACAATACATAAAAAATTTAAATTGATTACACAACCAGAACAACATACATACATATATATATAAATATATATATATAGGGAGATAAAATACTGATTTCACAGCAGACAAGGAGGAGAAAGGAAGCTGATGTCACATTCTCAGCTTATAGCTTATGAAATAAAAGCTGCAAGTCTTAAAGAAGAGACACTCAAATACCATGTCTGGGTCCAAACAATCAATTGCATATAGTCCATATCTATCTTCAGGAACCATAATTCTTGATTTTTCATCAAGTGAAATTGTCTTCCCTGCACATTGGAAATCAATTACATATTGCTTAGTTCACCAGTAAAAAAATGTGCTTGTAATAACTAGAAATGATTGTGTTTATGTTGCAAGTTTTAACCATTGTAATGCCTAAAACGATATTGATTCAGCTCCACAAAGGACACCAGAATAAGATTCAAGCTGCATATAGCCAGAGAATTACTTGGTCCACCCTAACAAAGTCTATCATAACTGGATCATACCATGCCAAGCAAGATAATGTATGTGCATGGATGAACACCTGCAGATAGACAAAATTTGTACAAAATCTGTACAACTACATTATAGATGGCTTCTGTATCAGAAAAATATGGTAAAGCACAACTAATAGGAAGAGAACATGGCATTTTTCCTCCAGTTGCACCTGTAAAGAGTAGTAGCCCACAAACTGGGTGGACCGTACGATCTGAAACTTACCAGCTTGCTTCAAAAGTGGCATGCAGATTGCCTCCTACTATCAGATTCAGACTGAGGCTCACCATCCAATTTGGATCAAAAACTGTAAGCCAGTTTTAATTATTAAAGAGAACAGGTACCTGATGGTGAGCCTACCAACTAGAACCCATGTCTTTTAAAAAATATATTTATTTCAACTTTTGATAGCTTTTTTTTTCTTGTTTCCTCCCTCCCTCCTCCCTATCACCCTTCCTTTCTTTGATATGCTCTCCCCTCCAAACTTGACCACTTGCTAGTATCATGCTCAGCATGGACTGGTGATGCTAAAAATGTTAAGTTCCAATACATGTAGAACATCACACTGTCTTCCCAAACTGGCTTAGTCATGCCGCATGAAGTACCAAGATAACTAAAGAAATTTAAAAAGGTAGTTGTTACCCGGAAAAGAAAAGAAACTAAACAAGCAACATCATTGTGCATATTCTTTTTAACTTTTTATTGTTTTTGACAGTGCCTTGATGAGGTAACAATGTCACTTTCTAAAATATTGGATGAATAAAAATGGATATGCCATCATATTATTTGCATTAAAATATTGGATAACTAAAAACAAATGATCAACATAATTTTCCAGCATTTAGAAACTTTAGAACTTTCTTATTTCAAATTACTGCATTCAAAAACAGAAAAATTCCCAATGATTCTAGCATCATGACCAAGGCCTATATTTCTGGACTTCAATTCAAGCAAATAAAACATAGAAAACATCTGCAAATTTTACTTTCCATCATCACTCTTAGTCCTTGACTCCTTGATACTCAACTTATTCACATTGTTTTAAGCAAACTTGGTTCTCATGGTTCCTCGAAGAACTAGTCATCAATTTACTAAAATTAGCATGAGAAATAATTAAAGAAATACCAAACAACTACCAGGTCTTTTAACATGTAGGAGAACATTTTCAAACTAACCAGATAGCAAACTCACAATAAAGAGATTTTCTGTGAGTAAAAGATTCAGAATTGAACCACATGAAGTAAGAGAAAGAAAATTTCCCCCTTCATATCATAGGTGTCCAAGAAAATAATAATAATTCTAGAAATGCATTCCAAGCAGCCTGAACAAATCACTTATTCAAAATCAATTTAGCAGTTTTTAGTGAGAGTATAGCAACAGGTCTTATGTCCTCCGCAACATACAAGTTAGCAAAACTATGAAAACAACTAGCTTATCCTTCTTTTTATTTGGATAATTGGAGATTGGTAAAGCCAAGTACATAAATTAATTTTACCAAAACGAAACTACTAATGTATTTATTCTTCGTCAAAGTAATGTTCTCTATACATTTTAGGGTTTGTCAATCATGTCTTGAATTATCAAACTTAAAGAAAACAAGAACAAAGACCTCAAGGACCATAAGATTACCACAGTTGCGATCTTAATCGAGAGATGGGGAGAGCAAAACTTTACCAGTGGCGGGATCAAACTGCGACCAGACCTTCGCCCGGAACTCATGATCGGCACCAAGAATCCGCACCCACACCCGTTCCTCCTTACCATTATCATCAACGGCGTTCAGTATCGACCCGGCGATCCCGGGAACCAGCAGCACGGGATCAAGATTAGGGTCCACGAGCGGCTGCTGCTTCTTGACCAACCTCAAGCACAACTCAATCGACCGTATCAGGTCCTCCAGCACCGCCATCCGCGGAGAGACCAGACGAACCAGATCAACCTGAAAGGAGGGCGAGAACCCAAGAGGAAATCAATCGATCTGGAAGAGCTAATCCAGAACGGGGGATCGATCTGGTAGCGCTAACAAGAGGTCGGAGTCGATTTCCCAAAAATCCGGGCTGTGAAATGGGGGTGATGTTAGGGTTTCGTGAAAGGGTAGAGATGGGGGAGACGGGGAGGAAGGACTGCAATAAAGGCTTCGTTCTCCCTCCCGGTGAGAGGGCGAAGAAGAAAGGGGTCGCGTGATTATCAATTTATCGACTTATCGATTTGATCTGAGCCGTTGGATCGGTGGCCGTCGGTTAGTCCTCGTTGATTAAGATCGTTATACGGTCCCCTAAACAACGGTCCTAATCCGAGAGGTGCGGGAACCTTCAGTATCTTCACCGAAAAGGGCGGTAGGCTGGGGAAACGATAAACGGGGGGGGGGGGGCAGATGGGTGATAGGGAGGTGACCGTAGACAACTTTGGTCACGCCAACGATTGGTTTAGGATACGTCGGGAGATACCAAGAGAGGGACGTACGGTGAAATAATCGTACGGAATGAATATAGTGTATAAATAAGAATGAATAGATGTTAGGAATGAATGGTTTTTTGCCCAATATTTATGTAAGGATGCTTAATTATAGAGATGTTTGAAAGTTAAATTAAGCTGATTACCAATTATATCTAAATAATTAATTAAAATTCAACCGTATATCCATTAAATTTTTTTATAAAAAAATGACGAATTCCCTTAAAATATGTTGTTGTTCGATTTACCATAATTTGATGAATAAAATAATGTCATCATCTAATCATAATTAAATTGTGATAGTATTTAGTATTTCTGTCATTATCAATTATCCATTTAGGTTTAGCATTTACCTACCATTTTATATGTATTTATTTAATTAAAGCTTAAAGATGTTATTGAATACGGAACTCTTCACCATTGGATAAGTCATATAGAATCCTTGTTTTTCAGGGAAAAAAATTGTTTAAGAATTTTAGAATAATTTTCTTGTAGATTACCTAAACATTGCCGATTCTATGAGGATTACTAAGATTTTAGATATTATTTGCATGACAGATTCTGGATTATTAGTGATATTCAAAGTAACACTAATTAAGTCTTTAACCTCTCTAATTCAGTCTAAGATTTTTGAACTATAAATAATGGTTTGCTATGTGTCACTTTCCCTTTACCAATCAACTCCAAAGGACAACGATCAAAGAAAACAAAACGAAGTTGGGAAACAGTTGAATGTCCAAATAAACTTACCTAATGAGTATTGACCAAAGCAATATCAATCTTACCTTAACCCTAGTAAGTCCTTTTCTATTATTATTCCAAATATAAGGTTCACCACTAAACTCTAAATCAAGCACTCTAGTAGAATTAACAAAGTTTCTAATATAAGTAATTAAAGAATTCGATTATCCACTATAGGGCTTCATATCATATTATATTGGACTTTCAAATTTGTTCATTCACTCCGGCAATGATAATAATATTCTTATCACTCATATATGTTGTATACCACTAAATTCAAATACAATCAAAAAGTTTTTTTTAGACTTATTTTTTTTAACAGATGTAAGCATAAGAACATCTTTGGTCTTAAATCGGAATAAATATAACATATATAAATAACTATCATTATCAGTTTCATAACGATTGCATGGCCTATCAAAGCTTAGTAACATATTAAATTTATTATACACTTCAGCATCCTATGGGCGTATCATTCTCATTCAGAAATAAAAGTTTCGATGGTCACAGATAATCCATTGTCTACATACAAGCTCTTACAATAAGTACTAAATTCTTCGAGTTAGCAATTCTTCTCATCTCTATGAGTTTTGTATAACTATTTCAGTCACCAAACAATCCATCCCTACTTGCATGGTCTCATCCTTTACCAAGCGTCTTGTTTACCTTGTGCACCATCAATTTTAGTTACTAATGTCAAGCAGTAGATCGAACTCAGCCATCCTAATTTTTGCATACTATGCATTATACCCAACTCACTTGTGGTGCCTCTCGTGTGAATGGTTGGTCATTCTCTAAATGTCAATATTGGATGTCTACTCCTCTAAGTGACTCCTTTCCATATATTTTTACTCTCGTTCTCTCAAACTATTATACATGTTGTATGCTCTTGACGTAGCCTCGCTATGTTCCTTATATTTGTATGCTAAGTATTTTTAAATATGCTTGTCCTACTCTGAAACCATCTATAATGGACTAAGTTGATTTCGTCTAAGTCACATGGCATCCTTGTGTGTCTATTTATAAAGGATTAATCTCTCCAAAACCTCTCATGATATCTTAAAGACATATAAAAAAAAGATGGGTTAGAAGAAACATTTAACTTAGAATCTTACGAGTAGATATTTCAATAAACACTTAATAGGCTATGTAAATTACAATCATAGATTTCACAACATGAAACAAATGGTCTAAGATAGTCTATCGCGATCAAAAATCTCAATAAGTACTCATATGATATTGCTATAGAACAAAACAATAAACCAACCCTAGATACTACCCTAAAGGCTCATCTAACTATGCGTCATTTAGATAGCTCTTAGGTATTGTGTTGACTGACACTTTGCATTACTCTACAAAACTAGAAAACTTTCAAAATAACTACCTAATATGGTTTGTTTTTGGATAATTTTACTTTCGTATGATGATTCTATACAACTTACATTTACATGATTATAAAACCATGAAGCCTACTATAAGCCTATTTACTCATGTTCCACTCATATTACTTTTGACATTAATGCTCAATCATTTCGATACATATTAGAGAATCATTCACAAGAACACATATGACATAAAATGATTGATTAGGTATAATCTTGATATATTTACCTATTGTATCTTTCTTATATCATAATCTTCAATCATGAGATTCAAAAGTAATCATCTTAATAATTAAGCTCCCCCTTAACTTGTATAAATGTACAAAACTATTCATCAAGTAACACATGACTTTTTACATCATAATTTTTCGCTTACACATGGCATATATGTGAATTCTTTACTATTAGCATCCCTACCAGAGATATAATATAAATATTTTATAATTCGATGAATATTTTTGTTTTAATTTGCGTTGATGCAGCAAATGACCCATTATATTTTTTTAAATCAAGTCGGTGTCTATGTGTCAATATTTTTATGAGCACAAAAACATGTTTAATTGAGTTATCTATCATAACATGTTGTTATGTTTGTGATTTGTCGTTTTGCGCATCCATTGGTTTTATTTTTATCCTCCCTTTTCCAAATTAATCACGTGCAAAGCACATGAATGAAGCTAAGGTACATAACACGTGTCATCGGAAGGGCCGTTAATGTGACCCAAGTGCGTCCATCACTCACAAAACCTAACTCAACTCAACTCGGGTTTGGTGAGACAGCTCATGTCGTCCTTGTCAAAACAAAACCGCATGGGAAGACAAGCGAGTCATGACGATATTAAGTTTGGTTGGATAAAGCTAAATCTGATGCCCCCCAATTCGGTTCATGGATGCCATTGAGATGACGGTCCACATCAGCGCGTGACTATAGGATACGGGTCAAAATGAGCATTCGTTAAAAAGGATCATATCAGATTTAAATGGCCTTTAATGATTAGTTAACTTTCATTTTGATTTCAACACGTCATTGTTCCACATGTTAAGCTCCAAGTGGTCCGGTTAGGTCGGGAGCAAAGCGAGTACGAATAAGGAGACAGAGAGGGAGTGAGAGAGGTGCTGGGTTTGAACATGGCGTACAGGGTGCTGTGGGCTTCGAGAGTCGCCTCCTACCTGAGGATCTCTGTCTTCCACAGAGGCTTCTCCACTGGTAAGTCTGTAATCTTCATGCACTTTACTGAATTTTGGGATTTTTCGGGTTTGTGGGTGGAAAGATCTTCTGTGCGGATGGTGAATATGCGTGGTCCCGTTTCTATCTGTTGTTTTCTATGCGAATGGTCGGATTTCTCTTGACGGTTTTTGTTCGATGCTTCTCGTTGTTTTTGTTGATGATTGGATCATCGCGTACCTGCAAAACTGAGATATATTCCGGTGACGTTAGGGTTGTGGTTATATTCGATGATAGTTTCATGATGTTTTCGTTTGTTCTATATTCTTCGTTGCCACTCGATTTGAGCGTTTTTATTTTGTCGGTGTTGGCTGATATATATCCCAGGGGTGATGGTGATGTGATGGATGATTTGGCCTCTTGTGCGTTGGTTAATTGTTCTTGCCATTTCCCGCAGTGCGGGTTGTGAAAAGGATGAGCAGAAGGGATTAGGACAACTGGCTTATGGTGGCAGTGCAGTTGCCACGGTTGTTTTCGATGTTGGAGTTCGTAGATCGAGAAGCATCAAGTTGATCTGAATCTAAGAGTCCTAGTAAATTGGACTGATGGACCAATGCAAAGATTATTAGAACCCTTACTCTGCCCCTTACTTCATCATGGTTTCCTAGTATAACATTTGCTGACGCTTCAGATCCTATCTCCCTCGCTAGGACGTAAAGCAATTCATATTGCATAACTTCATAGTGCAGAGGCATGGAATGCTGAGTTAAAGATATCTAGATTTTGAAGTTTCATCAGTATCTTTTGGTATTACTAATGAATATCCCCGGAAGTATAGCAAGCTAATCGTAACTTGATCATTTTCTGTACAGTTATTAAGGATTTGAAATATTCCGACACTCATGAGTGGATTAAAGTTGATGGATCTTCTGCAACGATAGGAATAACTGACCATGCTCAGGTGATTTTTTTGTTTGTTTTTAAAATAGTTTCATTTTCTGGTATCTGGTGATTAATTGTCTTAACAACATGGCAGCTCCTGGCCGAGATATAACTATCTAGCTTTTCAACTCGACATTTTGATTAGGAGCGCAATACTGTGATGGTGTCCTTTTCATTTCAACAGATTAAAAAAAAATTCCTGTAGACATGGTTATTTTGATGTTTTTCAGTTTTATGTATGTGTATACAATTTCTACGTTTGACTTTTACCGAGTTCTTTATGGTTTTTCCTTCCAGGATCACTTAGGCGACGTTGTGTATGTTGAATTGCCAGAAGTCGGCACAACTGTAGCACAGGGAAAGGGTTTTGGTGCAGTTGAGAGTGTCAAGGCAACCAGTGATGTCAATTCTCCTGTCTCTGGAGAGGTGGTTGAAGTTAATTCTGAGCTAACAGGTTCTCCTGGTTTGGTGAGTTTTCAAATTACTTGTTTTC